GCAGGGACAGCCCGTCCTCTCCCCAGGGGCTGAGGGGGGGCTCTGCGCCAGCCCACCTCCCCCCCGCCGCCTCCTGCCTTCCGCTGACCTCGGGGTCTGCAGAGGTGTCTCCCTCGTAGCTCCTCCTCGCAGCTCCCGCTCCTCCTCCAGTTCCCCTCCGTAAATCCGCTGTCACAGAGGTGCAGCCGCTGGCTCAGCCTTGGCCAGCTTGGAGCCAGGGGAGCTCAAGAAGCTCCTCACGGGGGCCACCACTGAAGATGCCTCCTCCGCCCTCCCAGAACACATAAACCCAGCACCCCCCTGCGCACTCCTGTGCCCTCGGGGTGCCCCCTGCCCCAGACCACCACCGCCAGATGTCCTGCCATGCTCTTTAGCTGGTACTTTACTGACGGCCCTGTGGGACAACGGGGCCCAGCACGCAATGAGGAAGGTCACAGCACAGTCACCGGCACGTTTCATCCCTCCAAACAGCCTGAGCTGGCGGCGGCACCTGTACAGACCCCCCTGATGCTGCTGTGACTTGCTGCTCGGTGCCCGAGTCGTGGGGGACAGGACCTGCCCCAGGGACCGCCAGGATGCATCACGGTGGAAGGGGTGTCCGGGGGGCGAAGGGTCAGTGGTGACAGCGGGGGTTGGCCCCGCAGCACTCCGACAGCTTTTGCAGGACTCGCTTTTTCAGGCAGATCCTCCTGGACAGCTTGAGCGAGCGGCTGATCTCATTCTCGTGGGCCTTCAGCTTGGCATAGTAGTCAGAAAACTTGTTGTAGAGGACGGAGATGGGCATGCCGTCGAGGATGATGCCGAAGGAGATGCAGGCGAATGCCACCATCCTGCCGAGCACCGTGTCAGGCACCGTGTCTCCGTAGCCCACAGTGGAGAGGCTGACCTGGGCGAGGAAGGGAAAGGAGTAAATCCTACATGAACAAGCCCAGCAGACCCCTCCTGCCAGTGCTGGGACCAAGCTCCCTCTGCCCCTGCAGTGGGGGGAACAGCCCTGCACCGCGGCTGCCGCCTGCGTGGCCAGGGCTCAGCTCCCCGGCCTGCACCCAGCAGCCTCGGACACCCCAAGGCAAGGGCCGGGCGAGACCCTGAGAGCAGAGGCCAGAGGCAAGCCTGCCTGCTCCCTCCTCCCCTCCACACGGGTCTCCTCAAAAGCAGCTGGACATCACGGAGCTGAACTGGCCCCAGCAGCAGCCAGACCGTCTGCTGGAGCTTCCTGCCCACCGAGCGGCGGCTCCGGAGCTTCCTGGCTGTAAACTGCTCAGTCCCAGAGGATGAAGCTTCCCAGACCCTCCCTGCCAGGGAAACAGAGGCAGTGCCCAGGAATGCACCCGGCAGAGCACATCTGCGCGACAGGGGCGCAGCGCTGTGGGCAGGCTGAGAGCTGAGGCGGGGAGCTCTGGGCTTTGCGTGGAGTCGTGCTGCCCAGGGACCATCAGCCTCTGACCTTTGAATACTCCAACCTGGTGGTTTTGCGCTCCCCCTCGAGAGGGATGAATTTGTAGCAGGCAGCCTGTGGTGGCCAAGGAGGATTATAAAAGCAGAAGTGATCTGTGGGATCGTTTCATCTGCAAATCGAAATGCCCTCGTAACCCCCGGCTCTCGAGCGCTTTAGCTGCGCCCCATCTCGGAGGTAATCCCGGGTTTGTGGCAGCGCTCAGCTCCGCGGAGCAGCCGGCTCCCAGCACCAGCAGGGCAGCAACAAGGGCGCCCGCCCCTGGCTGCAGCACAGCCCAGTCTGTGTCCTCTCCCAGGGCACGGTGTGACCACGTTTCCTTGGTTCCTGCAGGCGGCCCTGGGTCCCCCCGCTCAGCCCCACAAGCTCTGACCCCTTCACGTCCCCCGAGCGCAGCCAGGCTGCAATGATGCACAAGCCTCAGGCTGTCCTGGGCGGCTGTGCCCATGCCCACAGGGTCCGAGCCACATCCACCCAGCACTTGGGTCCCATGACAGATAAATCCCGAGCTGAGTTACACCCCCCTTGTCACTAACCCAGGCCTGGAGGTCCCCAGGCCACCACCTTGGCCCCACCATCCCACCCCAGCACCAGCTTTTGAGCCTCTGACTTAGTTCAAATCTCTGATTTCTTTTCTCAGAGCACGCAGGGCTCTGGGTTTCCCACCATTACTGAGCGGGTGGGAAGACTGGGCCCTTTTTTCCCTCCTGGTCAGCAGCAGTGGTGAATCCCTCAAGCACCAGGGCAGCCCCTCCCCACAGAGCCCCACCGCACCCCTCTCCGGAAGAAGGTGCTCCCATCTTACCGCTGCCCACCACCATGTGTAGGGGATACTGGTGAAGTTGGTGCCTGGGACATCGTGTTCCACTGAGTGCATGAGAGCAGAGAAGGTGAAGACCCCCATGGCGATGAAGAGGAAGAGGCAGCAAACCTGCTGGTAGCACTGGCGCATGGTGAAGCCGAAGGCCCGGAGGCCGGTGGAGTGGCGCGCCAGCTTGAGGATGCGGAAAATCCTCATGAGCTTGATGAGCTTGAGGACTTTGCCCAGCTTGCTCACATTCTCCACCTTGTGCAGTTCCTCGTGGTAAAGCATGTCTCCATCTTCCAGATTTTCAAAGAGGATCTGGATGTAGAAGGGCAGGATGGCCACCAGGTCTACAGCATTGAACGCTGCCCGCAAGAAGTTCTTGAAGCTGGAGGAGGATATGAGTCGCATGAGGTATTCGGAGGTGAAGAAGATGGCACAGATCATCTCCAGCTGCTCCATCCACATCTTCCCCGTCTTGTGTTTCATCTCCTCCACTGTGCTCAGTGTCATGCCCACGATGGAGATAAGCACAAAGAAGCTCGACATAACAGCAATGATCTTGGCTGCCACAGAAGAGTACGGGTTCTCGATGAGGTTCCAGATCATCTTCCGAAACCATCCCAGAAACTTGCCCTCAAACTGCTCCACCGAGTCCAGGGGCTCCAGTTCTGCCTCCAGCTCCTTCTGTATTTTCAGGTACTCACTGACTTCATCTCGCTTTTCCTCAAACAGGATCCGGCAGCAGTGTTGGGAGTACTTCAGATGGATTCCCCAGTACTCGATTTCCTCCACGAAGTTGCTGGGGCACATCTCATCCATTATCCACAGGACTCCACTGCGGTAGAAGTGGAAGATATAGTGGAAAATTGAAGGATCTCTGTCGAAGAAGTACTCGTTCTTCTGCACCGAGTAGTCATCACAGAGCTGCAGCTTCTTCATCGGGTCTGTATAAAGGGCCAGCTTCCCCAGCCGGGTGATGGGATAGCGGGCCGCTACCTTGTAGGCTATCTGGAACAATTTGCCACCCACGTTAATGTTGAGCAAGTACTTGTTCCTTTGGATGGGAGTCTTACTTTTCTCCTGGCTTCTGTCTATCACATTCTGCATGGAGCTCCACTGCTTCACCAGGCTGTCCTGTGCGAAGGGGATGTGGACGTCCCCTTCCGCCAGCGCCCGGCAGCACCCGCAGCGATCCCCTGTCCTCAGGCTGGCAGAGACACTCGCGCGTCTCATCCCCACCTGCCTCATCGGGCCTGACCCCGCCGAGCAGCGATTCCCAGGACGGGCTGGGGAACCGCAGCTCTGGCTTCATGGGAAGCTCCCGCCAGGCGCACGCTGGCAGGGACGAGCGCTGCGAGCCAAGGAGCGTGGGGAGCCCCTGCCCGAGCGGCGCTGCCCGAGTCACGGTGCCATGTGGCACTGCCCGGTTCCCAAAGCCGGCTGCTTATCAGATCGTGGTTTGTGCCGCAGGAGTCGAGGGCAGCCAAGTGTCCGCTCCTTAAGACGATAAAGAGATTGAAGCTCTAGCCCTTTATGTAAGCAACTATTTCCAGCTCTGCGTTTCTTTTTCCTTATTCTGTTCTTATTAGCTATTAGCGTTTGTCACACGCCACCCGGTTTCCGAGGAGGGCATCCACGACCACAGGTTGAAAAGAGAGCATGAACCCACCTGGATTTAACCCTGAGCGACCTCCTCGCCAGGCATGGAAAGGTGCAGACACGCAGGATTTGCCTCAGCTTTGTACCCCCACAACAGATGCTGCTCTTGGCACCAGCCCTTGTCAAGCACAGGAGCGCTAATGCAGCTGCCCCCGCTCCCACCAGCTGTCACGGCCCGGAGCGGGGCAGGGTTGTTACCTCCCAGCCCATCCCTCAAAGCCCCGCAGCGCAGACTCACAGGGGGAGGCGAAGGAACCGTCTCACCCTCCACGCGGTGCCCGGGCAGGTCCCCGCTGTGACAGGTCGCTCCTGCACCGCTGTCCTGGGCCTCCTGCGCATCGCAGCGGCCCTCAGCCCCCTTCCTCCCGCAGCCGGGGGCAGGAACATGGGACGGGACACTGGAAATGCAAGTGTGCAGTAAAAGTACCCCTGAACTATAGGAACTGAAGAGGAGGAAAGGGGAACCAAAATTAAACAGGCCAATCTTTGATGCCTTACCCTGGAACACAACCCTACCCCAGCGTGTAAAACATCCCATTAATGTCCATTAACTGATCTAATTAACTACAGAGCCCTGGAGCACAAAGCTGCTCCTAGACTGAAAAGCAGCTCAGGCTTCACTACAATGGAAGGCTCTGACCCCGGGGATTAGGACAACAAAAATGCTTCTGGCACCAGACAGGGGAAGGGAAATTGCTGTCACAAACACAGTCCCAAGTTTTGGCCCAAGACCCATAAAAATGTGTTTCCCTCAGCCCTGAAACACTCAGCTCAGGGACCAGTGAGCAAAACCTGCATGACCTTGCAGCGGGAAGAGGCCGCGACTGCCTGAGTTTATCCACCAGCCCCCTCGCACAGAGCGGGGGCCTCAGCGTGAGCAACAGCCGCGTGTCTCAGCTCGGCAGCTCGAGCTGAGGACGGACGGGGACAGGCTGGCGCCGGCTGACCTCTGCCCACAGCCCTGGCTGCACCAGCGCCTCGCCCAGCCAGCACCTGCCCTTTCTCCTGCCTCCACCCGCTCTGCTCCCTGGGATTCCTGTTTTCTGGAGCCACTTGAGGCACAGCAGCACTTGCTTTCCCTCTCTGCCCACACCAGCCCACCCACCCCAGGTTCTCTTTCCCAGGACAGGACAAACCAAAGGTGATGCAGCCCCCAGCCTCCCGGCTACAGAATTCAAGCAAATGCACAAATCCAAGAAAAACACGAAAAATCCAGAAGTCATTAGTTTCAAGTTCTTTATTCTCCTGCGTTGCTCTCCAACACCTAGCTCCTCTTGTCCCTATGGAAACAGAAGCAAGATTGTGTGCCCCCTTGCAATGACCTCTTGGCACTAAAACCAGCGGCACGGGAGGAACTCAGCGCCCCACACCGGGTGGAGAAGTTTCTCCCATGGGGTTGAGCAGCACGCTCACAGCGTCCAGGAGTGAAAGACTCCCGCTCCAAGGCTGATGACTGGTGTCTGCTTGGCAAGGCAAGTTCTCACCTTTAAGGCACAGAGATCGGCAGCCAAGGCAGCAGCTTTCTACCTTTTGTGCACTCAGTGAACACTTGTGCAAGGAGTCTGTGGCCAGCGCTGAAGTAGAGGCCCTGGTCAGCAATGTCCTCCCCCACCGCCGGTTCTGAGCAGCGTACAGCACTGAACTGCTCAGGGAGAGCTACATGTGCCACAGTGCACACAGGGCTTGATCCCAGACACGAGTTATTTAAAGCTGAGAGAAAGAAAAAAAAAAAAAAGCCAAACACTTAAAACCTCGTAGAAACACAGACTGGTTTGGGTTGGAAGGGACCTTAAAGATCATCCAGTGCCACCCCCTGCCCCGGGCAGGGCCACCTTCCACCAGCCCAGGTTGCCCAAAGCCCCGTCCAACCTGGCCTTGAACCCTGCCAGGGAGGGGACAGCCACAGCTTCTCTGGGCAGCCTGTGCCAGGGCCTCACCCCCCTCACAGGGAGGAATTTCTTCCTGATATCTAATCCAAACTCCCCTCTTTCAGTTTAAAACCGTTACCCCTTGCCCTGTCACCAAGAGGCCTTGGTATAAAATCCCTCTCCATCCTTCTTACATGGCCCCTCTATATATTGAAAAGTCTCCCCAGAGCTTTCTCTTCCCCAGGGATTGCCCCAACCAAGGCGCAGGACCTCACACTTGTCCTTACTGAACGTCATGAGGTTCACCTGGGCCCACTCCTCCAGCGTGGAGGTCCCCCTGGGTGCATCCAGTCCCCCAGAGGAATCAGCCACACCGCCCAGCTCGGTGTCACCCCCAAACTTGCTGAGGGTGCACTTGAAGCCATCATAAGGCCACTGATGAAGATACTGAGCAGCACTGGTCCCAGTACAGACCCTTGAGGGACACCACTCATGGCAAAACAGTTTTAATGACGACACCATTAACGGTGTTAGAGAAGCAACACGCAGAGCTCACGGCTTTCCACAGAGCAGTTCTGCGAAGGGCAGCGGCCCTCGCCTGAAGGGAGGGTGCTGAGAAGCCGCCTGCCCCACGCTGTCAGCGCAGCAAAGCCAGGGCAGACAGGAAGCTTTTCAACCTTCACCCCTGCAGCTGACCCGTCAGTGAAAGCTTCCTGTACACCGGACCGAGCAGCATCAAAGCACTCGGGCCAACATGGAGTGTGTGTCTGGTCTGTGCAGAGCCAGTGAGCTCCTACTGAACCGCATGGAAAAGCTCCTGTTCCCTGACAAAATCCCGGGGGAAGAACGGGGCAGGTGACAAAAGTATCTTGGCCGGAAGTGGAAGAAAACAGTTGCATAGCACCTAGCACCTGTCATTGCATGGAGAATAAAACCTTTGGGTCCAAGGCCACACTGGCGAGAATCAGCATTAACAACCGCTGGCGGTAAGAAGACATTTCTACCACCTTGTGAGGGGTGATTTCACAGCAGCAGAGGCGGCCTTGTGCTACCTCCAGAACCAAAGCAGTCCCACAATCTAACGCCCATTTCCAAGGGGAGCATCCTTTTGTTATTCCAGTGTAACAACCCAGATCGGAGAGCTTCTGTCCAATCCAGTAAGTCTCTGTGGTGAGCAGGAGGGAGACCAGGCTAGTCCCATCTTATCATCTCATGGCAAAGATCCCTGTTACAAGAACAGAAAAACACCTGGTTACTGACAGTCCTTTGGGCAAAAACCTGGTTTGACTTCAGTTTGTGCAAGGTGGAGGAAAACAACCCACACCAGCAGATGAGTATGTTAGCATGAGTGCTCAGTGTCCTTAGCAGCAGAGGAAGGACAGAGACCAGCACATCACTACCAGAAGCAGCCAGTATCTCCTCAGGTTAGGCTGTGCAACGACCCCTGCAGCCATGCAAGAGCCTTCAAGCCTGACTGTGAGGAAGGAAGGTAAGGGGAGAGTTCTGCTGCTTCAGGGCAGACTGAAATCCCAAGCATGTGGCTGACCAGCAGCAAGAACAGCTGGGAAAAGCTATGCCCAGAGGGGAAAGCTCTAAAGGGTAGACACACAGGGCAAGAAAGCATTTCTCTCTCATGCATACGGAGCACCCGGGGTACAAGAAACTTACCCTTCCAGGAAATGAGCCTATCTGGCTCTTATCAGGCATCAGCTGTTCCCTGGATCCATTTTCAAGACTGAAGATGTCAGATCTGCTTTTTGCTTTGGACAGGCCCCACACAGCAAGAGAACCCACAGCTACGAGGATGCTCAGGAGCGCTAGAGAGTGCACGAGCACAGTCTGGACGTTAGTACTGGGCTCTGCCGCTCAACTGCATTAGCCAACAGCTGGAGAGCAGCAGCTTCCCTCAAGGACAAGGGACAGAGAGAGGAGGCGAGTTAGTGCCAGACTGCATGGAACGGCCTTTCCAAGGACACAGCATGCCTGAGCCAGAGGAATGATTAAGCTGTGGTGTAAGGCCTCCCCTAGCCCTCCCAGCCCAGCAAAAGTGGCTACCAATACAGGTCTGGAATTAGCTCCATCAGGATGCTCAATTTATAGCTGAAGCCAGGACCAAGACCAGAGTGGTCCGAGTCTCACATACCTGCAGTAATCAGGATCCACACACGGCCTTGACTGCTCGATGGCACAGAGCCCCCAGGCACAGGCGTAGCTGAAGGCTCTGTGAGGAAAGAGCAAGAAGTGCATCAGGCTTCCAACTCACCTCACGGCCAGCATTCAAAGCAGTCTTGAATCCAAATCCGGCTGCATTCCCAGTTCACCTCAAGAGCAACAACAGGCCTTTTTCAATTTAAGCAAAACCTTATCTGCCATTACTGTGACTAGCCTGCATCAGAGATAAAAACCAGTCCCACTGGAAATGCATAAAAGCGAAAGCTGGGAAATCTCCCAGCTGTAGCTGCAGCACTCTAACCTCTCCTCGTGGCACTGGCAAGCCCCAGGTACAATCAGCACACAGCTCATCTCCCCCCCCCCAGGTGAACTGGCACAGGCATCAAATCCACATACAGCCTCTCACGCCTGCAGTAATACCCCTCCGCTCCACATCCACCCCGCTTCAGCCCCCAGAGCCACGGAAACCCCTGGGGCCAGGGAAGCTGGAACAGCACTTTGAAGCACCTCAGACAGCCAGCAGTTCAGTGAGGAAGGAAGCTCCAGAGCATCTCGGAGCAAAGCAGCAGACACAGCGTCCTGGGGGTGCGGACACACCCTTCAGCGTGACAGACACCAGTGTCTGCCGCTCTGATCCTGCCCGCGCGGCCCAGAAGTGTTCCCCCTCCCTTTTCCCTTCGGCGTGCCCATTCCCTGGAGCTCAGAAGGGTGATCACAGACTCCAGTGACACTGGCTGGCTGGGAGGAAGCCGCCAGAACTGCGTGTTCTGGAAGAAGGTACTTCAAAGGTACTTCCCGAGGGAGCCCTGCGGCGTTTAAACGCCGTCTCCGCGGGAGGAAGGGTCGGGCCGACCCTGCAGCACTTCCTCTGCCCAGAGTAATCTGCGACGGCGATAACTGCCTCGGAGAGGCTCGAAACGGCGGAGGTTAAACGCTCTGATCCGGTGTGACCCCCGAGCGCGGCCGCCGCCAGCCGGGGCTCTGGCGCCGCTCCCCGCCCCC